TTCCAGTTTGTTTTACCATTTATTCTTCAGTTTTGCCTTTGCGAAAGACCACATTGATTACATCGGGAAGCAGTCATTAAAGTGACGTTGCCATGACGACCACTTCAAGTTCCCAACAGACCGCTGATCAGCAGGAGCTGTGATGTAACATGCAAATAAATGTTCACTCATCAGTGACAAATCCGTCTGGATGCATTTTCTTAAAACAAAGAGCCTTTACACTAGTTGCATTAGAATAACAGTATACTATTAGAAAATATTGCTAAAAAATCAAAACAAGGAATCTGAATATTGTGTTAACGTAGAATATTGAACGTGGTTTTGATAGCCTAGAACTACGTGTCTGCTTTAGTTCTGAAACCCCCTTAAGGTTGTGTAGGGCCATGGTCTAGTACTGACAAATCCAGTGCTCTAGAATTCTTCTTTTTGGAATAAAATGAACGGATTGCAGAATTATAATAAGTTTTTCTCACATTATATTTTCATACATAATTCAAAGCATCACTTTTAAATGAAATAAAGCTCGCTGGCTGGTAGTCATAAAAATTAAAAGTTAATGGGGGAAGCACATTTTAGTGCAGTAAAAACACAGTTCACACTTTTAGCTACAGTTTTCTACGAAATTTTGACACAGCTTTTCTTCTTAAAAATCATCAACTTAATATCCACTCTAAAACTTTGTAAATGGAATAGACCGTGCCAACTAAGTGATGTGTCTCAGCATCACTATTATGACTACAATATGCACGTTCCTATATAGTTATGCCAATATAAAACATTCTTCCTACCATACATTGTATTATTCATGTAAAGGCTAGTACAAAGATATTGCATTTATACAAGTAGTTGCAAAATATATATATACTTCAAGCAGCAATCCATTTAGTCCCTGTTCATCATCAATATCTAAAATATATACTTCTAAAATGTTTAAAGCAGTTTAAAGGGTCTTTTGGAAGGGAGGTTAACTACAGCTATAAAAATATAATATCAGTTTGGCCACTGCAACAATTTCATAAAACAAAAGCTGCCTTCTCCTAATAAAACAAAAGATGCCCAATAGTTCAGTTCCTAAGCACAGGACACATCTTCTTGTAGTACGTAACATATACATATACATATACATATACATGTACATATAAACAGCATAATGCACAATGCTCTAAGGCACAGATAGTTACTTACATAGTTTACGCATTTCTTTTTACCAGCAAATTCTTCTCCATAATGATCATTGATTGGAGAAATTTATGGTACTGGAATTTCAATCAGAATAATATTCTAAACATGTCTTGCTATGTAAATTGCACAACTCTTCCATGTACTGTGCAGCACATTCTACATGCACACTGAATTTAAGTGTGCATAGTCCAGTGGATGGTGACCCTGACTGGTCTGGAGTTTGACTCTTTTGCCACTCACACGACCGGCTCAAGATGACTGAAGGGCTCTCACTTCCATTTGACTCAGTCAAAAGTTTCGCAGTGATGTACATTTCTGACATGTGACTGTCATTTATATAATCTCTGTATAAAGCAGTCTACCAAATAGAAGGCACAAACAAGCATATTTAAACTTAAACTGGCTTTTCATGTAAGGCACTGCCATGGCTAATGTATCTAGTAATTTTTATTTATCATATATAAAGCAACAATTGTCAATATTATATATCATAATATTGGGAGTATTAAAGTTGAATGTTTCATTGCATTTTAAAATTATCAACATTAGAAAATTAATGCACATTACTGGCTTCGATAAATTTACATAAAATTGATAGACTAATTTTTTTTTAGAAAAAAGCTTGTTTGCAACATTGCCCTGTTTGTAGTATAATTCTAGCAAGTTATAAATTATAAAAGCAATATGTTTGTTTTCACATTTAGCACTTCAGAAGAATTATGGTAATCCTTTAAAATATCATGTCATGATAATGACTGATAGGTCTCCTTCACCCTGACCTCCAGGGTTCAATCACCTTTGCTCTTCAACCCCTGACCTCTGACTTTCAGCCATGTTGGCTTCTCCAGATAGAGAGATAGAGTGAAGAAAAGAATGATCAGAAGGTTTTTCGCCAGGACCAGTGACATGAGGCCGATGTTGTCCCAGAATTCCACGGGCTGTGGTCGCACGGTGTCGAGGAATTCGCGGCGCGCCTGGAGATCGGTCAGAACGCCGGAGATCTGGAAGTTGGTCGCGATGATCCCCGTCACGTGGAAGAGTTGGTGACTGTGCCCGATGATGTCAAACTTTCCTGTCAGGAAAACAACAACATGTATTACCTTTCCCTTATCATACAAACTGTACTGTAGGAGTATAGTATCAGATGTATATGACTGTATTATAGCATGATTTCGGCATAGACACAAGCTTCAGGATCTGTATCTGTTACTAGATGCCCTTCAGTGTAACACACCAGCTTTTGTATCTGTATCTTTATAGCCGGTATAACTGCTTTTTAGCATTATACACACTTTGAGCTTCTGCACTAGTATCTGTATACCCGGTATAACTGCCCTTCGGCATAACACACCAGGCTCTGTATCTGTATAGCCAGTATAACCGATAACACACCAGGTACTGTACCTGTCTCTGTATAGCTGGTATAACAACAATTTGATGTTACACACAAGCGCCTGTATCTGTATAACCGTCATTTGGCGTAACACACCCAGCTTCCATATCTGTATCTGTATAGCCAGTATAACCGCTCTTCAGCGTTACACACCAGCATCTGTATCAGTATCTGTATATACAGCCAGTAAAACTGCCCCTACTGGCTTCAGCATACAGTAACTGTCTGTGTCTGTATAACCCTTAGCCCTTCAGCCTAACACACCTGTCCAGCTTTTATATTCTATATCTGTATACTATAACCACCATTTGGTGTAACACCAAGATAACCTTGAGTTTCATCTTCCCAAGAACTACCCAAAAGAAGAACATCCACATGAGCTAATAAATATTGAGTGAACGAATGATTACCTGGTGCGAGGACTTCAGGGATGTGTGTAGCGTACAGGAATGGAGTCAGGAAAGAGAAGAATAACATCCAGTAGTAGATGATCACTGCCTCGTTGTGACTGCACCCCTCCCCATGGCACAGGAACACCTGGAAAACAAGATGTAACAGTGGGGGGTTCATAGGCGCTACCAACTGACCTGGCTGATGGATCTAGACCTTTTAGTCAAGTGGTTAGAGCGTCAGATTTTGAAGCTGGTGCTCGGTAGGTCGTGGGTTCGAACCCCGACCCGGGACCAGGGGTTTCTTTCTGTTTTTACTGCTCGCCTCTGTTTCTTACAAAGACACCAGAAATTTCCAGAGAGTATTCTACTAGTAGGTTTTCTTAAACTTGACAATTGAGGAGATATTGTATGACAATTCCCCTGTACAAGATCTGAGTGAAACTGGCTGCCTGGCCCAGGTGTCCCCCACTTTTATGGGTGCCTGCATGCCCTTCAATCAGGCCTTTTTAGTCTTTATAATCCAAAGACAGCCTTGCCAAAAACTTTGTATGTAATGTAATTCGTAATAGAACATTAGCCGCAAAGCGTAAAGTCGTAATCAGCTCTGAGACTTTATCGTTATTCGTGATTATATTCCTCCAACCAGGTGCCTTACAAGTGTGTGTAAATAACTATGGGAACATAAGCAAACACACAGACAGCCACACTGACAAAAAAACCCTCTGTATTATGTACGTAATTAGTAAAGCTCAACTACTACTACTACTAACAACAAAAGTGTAGATAGAACGTTAACTTTGAGCCAGTTTTTACCCTGTAGCAGAGTGGAATGCTGTTGAAGAAGTACGGTAGAGAGAAGGACAGAAGTCTCATCGCTTTCCTCATCTTCGGGCGATCCTCGAACCGTGACGTACACGACAGCAGCGTACAGCCCACCGCCAAGCCCGCCGCAACTCTCAAGAACACATCGTCGAACCACGAGCCTACAAAAGCGTCCGGGAAGACATACGCGTGATACGCGATGCCCGATCCGAGACTGTAGAGGCTGAGCGCGCCGTAGTCCATGAAATACGAGATATGCTGCGCTCGGTCAGACATACAGTTAAAACAGTGTGCCATACTACTGGTGATCGGATACGCACAGCACGACAACATGAAGACGAGAAGTGGCCATGTATACGGGTCAACCCAGAAATCGAAATCGTACGAAACAGCGACCAGTCGCCAAATAAAGTACCAGAATGGAAGAAAGTGGGTCCAGAAATTGAGTGTCTCGTTGGTCAGTTGGAAGAGGCTGAGGACACAATCTGTTGCAGAACTTTTCGGTTTACGGTATCCGTGTACGATACAGTGTTCGCGATAGTGGTGGGGAATGTCATCTATGTGAAGTAGTTCTGTCGTCCAGACTTTGAGTCCACTCCACATTTTTTGCAGTTCTTGTTTAACTTTCTGACCTCACTGCAACTTGATTCAAATTTTAGATGTACTGCTTTTTTCGAACTGCATGGATTTTGTTTTGAAAATTTCAAAGAAAACTTTAAAACATATATTAAGGTAATCTGTAGTATGCATGCATATTCAAGTTAGCTCTTGCACCAACTTAGAAGTCTCTGGAAGTGGTCTACATAGTAGACCTTAAATGTCACTCATAAACAGGTGTCTTGAAATTCGGCAAATCTCTTCCTCCAGTCTCAAGTGGGAAAGTCATCACCAAATTTCTCACCTGCAAGACAAAAAGAAGACATTCTTAGTCAATTGGTCACTTAAGTCTCTAAACCCTTGTCCTGCAGTACCCATTTATATATGGGTTGTAAAGGGTAAAGGTACATTATTGTATGAAACAACATGTAACGGTTAATTAGCAAGAAAACTCCATCTATCTGGACCAAAAGGTTGAGTTCGAAGCCCAGGCTATGTATAGTAATGCAGGTTTTAAACTACTAGTACAACTTCCAGTTCTCATCAATACACCATTAGTATACATGTACTTGTCTCCAAGTCATTTTACAACAACAGCTTCTTTCCCCAGACTGCAAAATTATGGAACTCTCTTCCAAACAGATGCTTTCCGTCCGACTACAATCCACAAAGCTTCAAAACAAAGGTCCACCACCATCTCCTGACACAACTACATTATACTCGTATAAACTAAGTACCTCTAGCTCTTAATGCCTAGAAGTGGCCAAAATAATTGGCCTTACATTGAGCAACACCATAAAAAAAAAAGTGGCAAATTGAAGAATGAGTTTTGTCATCAATTCTACCCTATTTCTGGAAACCCTACAGTTAGTAGTCGTGACTGATATATAGTTCAAGTATTGTTCTGTTGAACTCCATTCTTTCCAAAATAGTCACATTGTATCAGTATAAAAAGCACCATCTGGCCATACATACTAGTACATTACTTCTTTATTTAGCACCACACATTAACATATGGGAGTGGTGACTTTGTATGTCACACTTGACATTTATGTTTCCTTTTCTTTCTTGAAGTCTTTATCACAAGTTTCTTTACCACGAGCACCGTCTTCAAACCTTTCTACCAGTTGCTATGACAAGGTCAATGACCCCTTTTCAGACTTCTAAAACCGTGACTGTGCCCACGCAAACAGAGGGATTGTCTGGCTGAACAAAAAGTAAGAGAAAGATGCTTTCAGAATGTTCTCTGTGCCCACCCACACTGACATACTTTCCTTGGCATTTCTTCAAAATCTGACACCATTACTACACACCGGAGGAATGCTACTATAGGAGGCCTAAAATTGACATTGACCTGCCTATACATACTAAATAATGTAATCCATAGCTTTTAAGGCTCAGCCAAAGTCACTTGTTTGAAACAGTGGCACCTACTAAACAAAAAAGCTAAAAAAAGGCCCAAAATTGACTTTGACCATCATGCTTCCCAGGCCTACTAGTATACATACTAAAAATGTACTAAATATCACCACAATCCAATCACAACTCAGTACTAAGACTTTTGTAATGTTTAGCCAAAGTCAGTTCTTTGAAACCTGACACTAACCGACCAAAAAAAGTGACTAATGGGCCTAAAATTGACTTTGACCTTCGTGTTTTCAAGGCATACCTAAATAATATACCAAATATCATCACATCCACAGTTACTAGTATGCTAAAGCCATTTGTTTGAAACCTGACACCAACTGGACAAAGAAAGTTACTAGAATGCACAAAATTGACCTTGACTTGTATTTCTATGATGGTGAGACCTAGGATATCAAATATCATCACAATCCATCCATAGCTTCTTGAGTTAATCTTTTCACACAATACCTCCTTCAAGCAGGTAATAACTTAAAGACACTGTCTGGTAAGAGTTAACTGACCTTAACCTTAACCTTCACACTCCTGTCTAACCCTGTAACATCACAAATTTGTGGACAAAAGGCAAACTCAGCAAGTAGAAGGTTAAGCACAATAGCACTGAGAATATTAGCATTCAGCTGACCAGGCCAAAAAAAAATGTGACATGAAATCAGAGATTTTAGACCTCCAGGATTCAGTAATTTTGACCTCTGGCTTTATATCCCATCTAAAAGACGCAAGTCCATAAGCAAAGCTTAGGTACACAATTTCAACCGAGTTAAGAAATGGGCCTATAGGTGTAAAGTACCTTAGCCTCTACCAGGCTTGGGGAGGCGGCTGGAAAGAGTAGAAATCGGCCAAATAGCGAGATATGCATGGCAAGGGAGTTTGTCCCTTGAGAGAACAGGGGTGTGGCGAACTGTTCTCTCAATGGACAAACTCCCTTGCATATGTCTCTATTTGGCCGATTTCTACTCTTTCCAGCCACCTCCCCAAGCCTGGTAGAGGCTAAAGTACCTTTCCCAAAGACATGTAACATCATATTGGGGCCTGCCAAGGATTCGAACCCAGAACCTTCAGATTGTGAAAACGAAGCCAAGAATCCTAAACCACCTGGCTACCTTAAGCTTGTTCCTTTGACATGTAATGTCTGGCTACTCACATATTTGCACACACAAAACATGTGTTTGGTGACAACCAAGGTACACTAAACTATACTGTGAATCTTAAAATATAAGCGGACAGTTTATTTTCAACAATGATCTCTTATGGCAAATCACATAACACCAAATATGTGTTTTTAATTACACTGTACGGTACATAATTGTTTCAACTGCAAATTTCAAACAACAAAATCATACTATTCCCTCTTATAGCCAAATAATACCACTGCAAAAGTAAATGCATTTTACAGTATTAGTGTATATGTAACATTTCCCCTATAGAATGCAGCATAATACTACTAGTAGCCTAAACACTGGGCTAAAAATACTTAATATGGAAATCTGCACCAGATAAATTTTACCTGCACTAAGAAATGTATAAGGATCATTATAAAAAGTTAACCTATCAGAAACCATTGCCATCATTTCTTATATACATGTAGTACTTCATAAGTGAAGACAGTCAATGCAGCAACATCTATATAAAACTGTAAGGTGCAGGTAGACATCAGAAATACCTGCACAGCTCCAATTTTACCTAAACTAACCTGAATATACCACTTAGTACTAGTGCAGGTAGACATCAGAAGTACCTGCACAGCTCCAATTTTACCTGCACTAAAACATGCACTAACCTGCACTAACTGGCATTAATGCAGCTGGTATTTCCAGCCCGGCTAAGGGTACTTGGAGGTGGAACCATTCATGTAATTGGCCTGTCATTTAAGCGCGGAAAGCATGCAAGTTGTTTTGAAACCTGACCATGGCTACCATTGTGCCAGTGTTTACTTGGTCACCAATAAAGGGGTGTGGTGACTTTAGATGGGTGTGTCGCAAACTGATAACGGCATGTACTTTTGGCGAAACTTTGGTCTAACATTTTTCTTAGGATTTCAACCTTCAAACTTATGTGTACATATGTATATACACAAACTGCAAGATAGTCAAGCAAATTTGATACATTAGATTTTGATAAATTGGTAACTTTTACAAAGCCATGTTCAATAAAATGGTTGATATATTGAAGAGTATGCACTTATACTATGTTACAGTTGGATTAAAATAATTTTCCAGCTAAGATTATTATACTTATGAAAAGTAACAACTCTAAATGAGCTTGTTGTGTATACAATTGTTACTATTTGAACTTCTTACTGTGTTAAGCCATAGAATTGACAAACAGATGGCAAACATATCACAAATAGCAATTCAGTAACGTTAATGTTTTAAAATAGACTTTCAAGAGTTGACAAAGTCCAAACATATGTGACAATCTTCCAAAATAGATATATTTAGATATTAGATAAGGAAAATCGCTTTGACAGATGTACAAAATGCGAAAAGTGTAAGACGATATTTCAGCGTTTAAAGCATTGACCTATTTACAATGTAAGTATATGCTTAGCCTAGTAACCAAAATTCTCTATGGGCCAGCTTAGGGGTGTTTTACCGGCCCCAGCTCTACTTAGCATGGGCCATATTTCAGGCTAGCCTCCGTAGCAGGCTTATAGAACTGGGGGTTTGGTGGTCTTCAGGTGTTTTCTGGCTAGCCTCCGTAGCAGGCTTATAGAACTGGGGGTTTGGTGGTCTTCGTCTGTTTTCTGATTAGCCTCCGTAGCAGGCTTATAGAACTGGGGGTTTGGTGGTCTTCGTCTGTTTTCTGATTAGCCTCCGTAGCAGGCTTATAGAACTGGGGGTTTGGTGGTCTTCGTCTGTTTTCTGATTAGCCCAGTTTAAAAACACGGGGGTAATTCAACCAGGCCAGCTATGTTGTCTATATGAATATGCAATCAGAAAATAGCACACAAAAGCTCCCAAAGACCCTGAAGACCTCCAAAACCCCCAGTTTTTGGCATGCTATGGAGGCTGATTTCTGTCAACCTATCTTTCTCGTGGGCATTTCTACACCATTAAAAGCATACCCCACAGTATGAGCTAACCCCGTAAAAATTTACCGGCTTGCGGTAAAGGGTCTGGGCGGGAAGACAGCTCTCCCAGTACCGTAGAGATACCAGCGATCTCCCGATGGTACCGTTATGGTTACTTACCAGGCCAAGTCTGGGCCCGTGAAATTTGGGGACGCGACAAGTTTTTTGATGAGGTCATTCTGGCAGGAAAAAGAAGTGTGACACACCCAAAGATTCACAGCGAAAGATAAGCCCCTCTGTCAACAGCCGAGCCTAAACTTGATCTAAATAATTGGCCGGAATTCTGACCGCCGGCGGCATAGGAATTTCTCGAATCTTCGCTGGCTAATTTAATGTCTTCAAAGTTGTAAAATATCCTAATTAAGTCAGAACAGCACAATACGTTTGGGCTCTTGGATTTACCACGAATTTTCAACTTAAGATACAGTTCCCCAGTTTACTTCACAGCTTTTTCAGAAGGTTGGCAAGATATTTAAGGTTTACGCAAACACACGTATACAGACCCCTTAACGGTTCCCACATTTGCAAGCGTTTAGCGCCCTAAATCTAAAGAAACAAGGGTCCTACTTACGGTAGGTGGTCAGGGAGATCTTAAAGATGGTTGAGCATGCGAAGACGTGACTGTTTTCGGCTCAAGACAGCTGCACGGGCGCGGTAGAAGTGAAGACTATGCGGCCCGCGCCCGCTAGCATATATTTGTTGTCAACTTGACAGAGTTGGGCGGAAAGGTCACCCAAGGGGTCAACAAGCTGTGCCACTAGTCCAGACGGGGGTGTGAGGTGCCAAACATAATATGCTTCTTAAATGTTGTTACGACAGCAAGAAAGTTGAGATATTTAAGACTATTATCATAACTATTCAGAAATAGATATCTAAAAGTGTACTATTAAGTGCAATTGACGTTGATCACATCAATTATTAGTGGGAAAGTCTGCCACACCCGAAAATTAGTGGTCTGGCCCATTTTATTTTGTCGTCTGTCATTCTGATACGGGACGGATACGGTATATATGCACGTTATATACGCTTTAAACCTGCAGAATGATGCAATAGGCTGCTATATCGAACAATTTATGATTCAGAATCGACCTACACGAATGCTGACACCACAGTTTTGCACAGCAAACTCGTAAGTTTTGAGACCACCTTGCTTGGTTTTTGATCTGTTGGCAACTTCCTTAATAGTGGGTCTTAGTGGTCTGACCAGTAAACTATCGTTGTATAATCGTCTTCTTTTCGCGGTAGGGTTAACACCTGAGATTACTCTGCTTGATATACGTACATACATGTACATACACACGTATGTTATTGAGATTTGAGGCATTTTAAATATGACACAACTCAACATCAAGTTGCAGGTAAGTTACATGTAACTAGGGGTTCAAAGTCGAATCAGAATTTCTGACGTTGGTCACATATAGGATGGATCTTAAAAGCCAAAAAACAAGACGTGTGTTTGCTTATTAATATTATTGATTTCTCAGCCTATTTTTATTTATAAGACTACACAATTTGCCAAGTCCCCTGGCATGCTATCTGCCTATTTGACCTGACTGAATGGGGTTACCCACCCGTCTAACGATTAATAAAGAAGTAAACTAAGTACTACTCTTCTGAAGTCGTATTGAGGATTAATGAGGGCATTAAACTCCACAGATATTTTGAGTGACATCAGAATTCGGAGATACATCAGATAGCATAACTATCAGTCTAAAGCTCTGATACTCTACGACCTTCTGTGTGTTATACATAGGACGCCATAGGATGGACAAAGCCACGCGACAGCAAGAGGAGAAGTTGCCTGTCATAGATTTCGCAGCCTACAGCTTGCAGAATGAAACTACAGACGACGATCAGCTCCAGTGTCTCGCTACAAGACTTGTACAGGCCTTCTCAACAGAAGGGTTTGTTTATCTCCGTAACCATGGGATACCAAACGCTCTGGTAAGACTGTATCTAAATATTTTTTTTTAAATATTTTAAAATATTTTTTAATTCCAACATCTAATCACAAGACGCGGTGACGGCACACTCAAGTTTTTTTTTCAACTCATCTAAGTATTGGGGCTTAACTATTTATGTATACATTTGCAGAAGGATATGTTTTTGCTCAGTTTCTTCTTCTTCCGGTTCAAAGAAAGTAAATGGCCTGGACCAGATGTCTGTCACCATCGTAACTTATGCAGAATGATATGTTTTTGCTCAGTTTCCTCTTCTTCTTTCTCTTCAAACAAAGTCAATGACCTGGACCAGACGTCTGTCACCATGGTAACTTGTGCTGTAGGCAACACCCTGTGGTGTTGGGTTACATTAAGTAGCAGGACATAGATCGAGAGCCAGCTTACCATACGTATATGTACATATGAGTGTATATGACTTTGATTAAGTATAAACAGTGCAGTAGTAGTTGGGTTAGACCAGGTGAAGGTAAACATTATGTATTTGCATTGCAAATGTTACATTTCTTGTTTAAAAGTTAGATTATATGAATTACAATGGATAAGGCCATAGTTGATAGTTTTTTTATCAAAATGCTCCAATTTAAAGGATTTGTTTGTTTGTTTGTTTGTTTAGATTTCCAAGACGTTTGAAGCAGCCGACAAGTTCTTTTCTTTACCAGAGGAGGTAAAGAAGAGGTTTTGTAAATCACAAGACTGCAGCCTCTACTGGGTCGGCCATCAAGCCGAAAGGTATCGTAGTTATTGGGTAGCATATCATATCATAATCATGAAATAAAAATCAATATAATGATTTATAGATATGACCATGTGTGCAAGGGCAAAAAGTTGATTCATCTTACTACATTTAAAGAATGTACGTGTCTAGAGAATCGACTTTGAAAATACCACTCTCAAACATATTCGTAGACATGGGACCAGCCCCTCCAACTTGCTACATAATGTAACCCAACACCACAGGGAGTCTGCCATAGCACGTGTTACCATGGTGACAGACGTCTGGTTCAGGGCCTAACCTTGTGTAGAGACGGAGACAATTGCAAATTGCATTGGATGTCGTAAAAGTTATCACCTTAAATTTCAGCTTCACATATAGTGGTTAGCTTAATTAGTTATTGATTCGATGAAATTAAATAACTAATACCATGTTTTTATCATATCTTTACAGAGTAAATCCGGACCGGCCTGCGGATGTCAAAGAAGCTATGGGTGTTTACCGGCCACGTGACAATGAAAAGGTTACAAATTTTCAACAACTACAAAAAATGTTCTTGGGAGGACTATGCAGAACCGTGCCTGATCCAAAACCCTACCCACTCAGGTTTAGAGCTAGATAGATGTGTTGATAGACAGAGACTGTCCAGAACCGTGTCTGATCCGAACCCTTACGCACTCAGGCATAGAACTAGATAGGCACGGTTCTGGACACGATAGGAACTATCCAGATGATAAATGTAGCAACAAGGTTCTGGATATGATAGAGACTATCCTGACAATATCAATAAAGGTATAGCAACACGGTTCTGGATATGCAAAGACTACTAGTATCCAGAACCGAGCATGATCCTGATCCATTCAGGCATGGCCTGAGCTACATGTGGATAGGCACTATTCTGGATGGAATAGCGGTTATACTGCCAATACAGAACACTATACAAAAGAGATCAGAGGCTATACATGCTATATATCAATGTATCAGTCCTTGAAGTTAAACCTGAACTTCACTAATCTTTCAAAACAGCCATGGCCAAACCGGGAAGTACCAGAACTTCAACAGACGTTTCAGGAGATGTACGAAAACTGTCAACGGCTCAGTCTGAGAGTGTTGGAACTGATGGCAATGGGGCTTCAGGTTCAGGTACGTTCTAACGATACTGCATGTGCCTATAGCCTATGAGTATTTATTTATTTTATTCACATTTATTTTTCGAGGATTGGGCAAAAAGTTATAAAACTTATCTCATCCCTCTCCTCACACATAAAAGGAAACAATAAAACAAAGTAATAATAATAAGAAGAAGGAGAAATGACAAAGGTACATAATGAGCTGGTGTACAAATCAAAATCAATCAACTAAATCTAACAAAACGTCCTGTCTGCAAAATAAAGTTGAAAACCACATCAAATATTTTACAGTTGTTGACAAACGACAATGAGGGGTTACCCCTGCCTATGTGTACTAGTATGTGCTTGGAGTAAGAATAAATCTAGAGCAGTAGCGTTTTGTGCTGGACCACGTGTAGGTTAAACGTTATGCATTTACTTTGCAATGTTTTTTTTTTGTTGTTGTTGTTATTACAATATTTCATGACTAAACATGCCAGCGCCACCAACGCAATGGATAAATACAGGACATGACAATACTCATTTTCCATTGAGCTAAGTGAGGAAAGTCGTGTAAAGTGTCTCTCCCAAGGCACAAGATCGGTGGCATGTCAGGACTCGAACTCGGGACCTCTTGGTTCCGAGCACTGTGACGTTACGCCACACGCGTTCGACGCCACTTTGCAGTTGTTACCTTAAAGTTTGTAGCTTTCTTCCTATCTGTTTAGGATGTTCCCAGTTTCCTGGCCATGCGCAGTTTAATCGGTACCAGGGCCAATATCACATCGTTGACGGCTCTGCACTTAATTCTTACAGTATTACTTTGTATGACGAATGTAGTTGTTTTCTATCTGATCAGGATGTTCCCAGTTTCCTGACCATGCATAGTTTAATCGGTACCAGGGCCAATATCACATCGTTGACGGCTCTGCACTATCCGCCTGTACCTGAACACGTTAGCGAGGGGCAGCTTCGCTGTGGCGAGCACACCGACTTCGGCACCATCACTTTGCTTTTTCAGGACGAAGTTCCCGGGCTAGAGGTAGGAAAGATTGCAATTTTGTTGTGTTGCGTCGTATCCTACTTTTTAGTACACTGTTCCAGGACTAGAGGTAGAGATGTTGATGTTTTTTTAAGTGTATTGCTTCGCGTAGCGAATTATTTCATCAATACAATATCATACATAACGAAACAAGAACAGTGTGCGTGACTCTGCACCTAAGTGTTTAAATTTATTTTAACAGCGCCACACAACAAATACACATAACAGCATATTTAAAATGCATGAGAGGGCAACCTGTATTGAAAGGTAACAACATTGCCCCTGTTTTGAGCGTCCCCTCTAGTTTTGGTCAATTTTGATAAAAACAGGACATCACATATTTCACAGGTCTATGTAGAGGCGCCAGGAGGCGTATTACCAAGAAGTATGCAAACAAAGGTTAGGTGTAACAAGTCGCTCTGTAGCCGGCTGCCGTTGCGCCGCGTGCCTGCAAAGCTGGTGTGTTAAGCCGGATTCTAAGCGTAATACTTTTGCCGCCTGATATCTGCCTGGAGAAAACTAAAGAGGTCCTTCTTGTACAGGTTCTAAACCGCCACGGCAGGTACATCCCCGCCCCTCCCCTCCCAAACACGGTGGTCGTCAACATCGGAGACCTCATGCAACGGTGGACCGCTGACGGAATCGTATCAAACGTAAGAATCTATCCAAAATTCATAAGTTTAAACATCATGATAATGATGTAGCGTACTAGTGATTACTGGAAACTTACCTAGCCCTAGAACCAATTGAGGCCGAGGTCTTAGCCCGACCGCGAGTTGGATCTCCCAAAGAGTAGGGACTTTAAAACGATGCAGCTCACTCAGACTTACATTGGAGATACCAAGCGCTTCTAGCTCTGCTTGACTGTTTCTAACAGTTAATTAGATCTAGAAGACAAATACTACATGTGTTAATATAATGGGCCTAAATTCTCCTCCTAGCTCTGTTTGGCGGATGTGTTTCCGCCAATGAGATATAGGAGGTTAAAATGTAATCCTTAGTAGCCACTCAAGCTCAAGAAAATGAGAGAGAGAGAGAGGGAGAGAGAGAGAGGGAGAGAGAGAAAGGTTTATTTGAGGTGTATTTATTTACACACAAAAGCCTGTAAGCAGCCATATTTGGCTGAATTGGGAAGGCTCTAAAACACAAGATGCGCTCATAGTACAGCTATTTGATCAAAGTTCGTTACATTTGATAAAAACCTATTTCTTGCATATCAAGTTTTCATTAAAAATTACCACACGTTAAAAGTTCAATAAGCAGTATAAAAACAGTTGATTCAAATCTTTTTAAGATGAAAATTGTACATCTGCTTTACAAATGCATGCCACTCTAGTTTTCTCTTATTATTTACGTATTTTACTTTTTTTTCTATTAGAAGCATCGCGTGGTCTTGCCGGATACGGAAGCGCTGCGGAAAGTTTCTCGCAGGTCTCTCGCATTCTTCGTGAACCCAAACGATGACGCCGTCATCACATGTCTGGATGACTCCGGCAAATACGAACCAGTTAATGCTGGAGAATACGTTAAAGGCAAAATAGCGGCACTGACGAAAGAGTAGGGCCATTTATATTGTCCTTCACGGAGGGAAATCGTATTGTTATTACTCTGTTTGATATTCTTCTTCTCCAAAAACATAAGGTCAATGACCTGGACCAGACGCTATAGCGGAGTTGGGTGATGATGTACATTATGGTGCAAGTTGCAGGACAGAGTTGGAGCGTGTAGCGTCATACGTATGTACACGGTCGGAGTGGCAAGGATCCATCCCTTTCTTCTTCGTAACTAGCTGCTACTGCTGCAAAGTGAAATATATCCCGCATACTAAGTTATGCAGTTTTTAACTTGTGTGCTAGAGGACGCTTTAACGCAGACCGTTCGAAAGCGTCCTCTAGCGTCAAAGTAAAGAACTACACAAGGTAGTGAGGGTGACTAGCCTGCACGTTACTAAGCATGCTTCAAGTGTTGAAACTGTTCATATAGGAACAGGTAGTCTAGACCTTGCGTATGTAACCATATAGTGAATATGCACTACTAAAGAATATATGGCAGAACAGCACTAAAGCTAATCTCCAAGCAGATCCCTCTCGGTGGCAAAAAGACAGTATCAAATTGGCCAGGCAGTAACCATTAGCCAGAGAAGGTCCGCGGCCACCGACGGAGGGACTTTGACACATTTCTCAAATAACTACTCCTCCCCTTGTCCTCTGTGGCTGTGACTTTCGGCAGAGGTTGGTGGGGGTCAGGACAAAAAAAACGGCCATATGTAAAAATGTAACGATCATTCCCCCACAACCTCTGCTTGGAGAGTACCCTATAGCCACTGCCTACCACAACAAGCACATACGGTCACAACTCCTATATATGGAATCCTACAGTAACAGATGTGAAAAATATCCAAACGAACGAACACTAACCACATACCAACTCCCACTCTTATGTATTTTGTACCATGTACAATGTTTGTGTAATAATATGTATAGATTCATCACGACTTTTAATTATGTAAACTTTGACTATTACATCTGCCCTCATACTCAAGTAAAAGCGGCCGGCAGACAGAGTATAACTTCAACTTAGGGGTTCAAGCAGATTTACGATTCTTAATGCCCCACTGACACCTCCCTGTCCCCTGAGTTTTTACGTTTGATTGAAACCTGGAAAAAATCGAAGACGAGATCTCCCAGGGACCCTCCCACTGAAATAGATAACCTCCGAGCTGTTAATTGAAAAATAAAATCCGGGTAGACAACGTTGTTCAACTGACGAAAACCAGGTCTGTCTTCCGTTGGTCCTCTAATCTCTATGCCCTCCTCCCACCAAAGCTGTCCTGGATGAGATAAGCTCAGAACTACTAATCAAGAAAGACTCTGACATCTCAGTTATATAACAAATGATACTTTGCAGATCTATCCTTTTTTGTTTGCCTATGGATGTAAAGAATGTACGTCAGGTGTGCTAGATTAATTCCATTACAGTAGTTAGTTACCTGTATTTTACCTGTTGCAGTTGTTGTTGCATAAACTTTTTGACTTGACTTGTAATCTCAAAGGCACGTGCCTATCCTGAATGATAACTTCCGCCTAACATGTTATTAAAAACACAACACAACACACACACACACACACACACTGTGTGTGTGTGTGTGTGTGTGTGTGTGTGTGTGTGTGTGTGTGTGTGTGTGTGTGTGTAATGTTATAACTAAATTTCATAGATATCCATTCTGTGTGTGTGGTGCAACTACATGTATAGCGTTTAATACACCACAGAGCAGTATAGGACACACACACACACACCATCACGATTTATAACCCTTTGTTCCACTAACCCTAGTCTGAATAAGATAACCCATGAACTTCTAATTGAAAAAGAGACGGCGATAAGACTAGGTGAGACTCCTCTCTTTTCATGTGTTTGTTATAGGGCGAAGACACACGATTTATAGTCCAAATGTTCCACTAACCCTATTCTGAAAAAGATAACCTAAGAACTTCTAATTGAAAAATAGACGAGATAAGACTCAGTGAGACGTCTTTATTTTCGTCTTGGAGACACCTCGAGATAAAGCAGACTGTAGTTAAAGGAAATTTGCGTCAAAAACTGACAAATTTAGTGTCCTTACATGTATAACCCCCACCACCCACACACGATGCTATCTTGTCTTTTTATATATATTCCAACATCTAATCAGAAGACGTGGTGACGACACACGCAAGTTTTCCAACTTATATTAATGCCGCCACCAACACAGGGGACAATACAATGCTCATTTTCACCTGAGAGAAGTGAGGTAAGTCTTGTAAAGTGCCTTTCCCAAGGGCACAAGATCAGTGGCATGTCAAGACTCAAACCCGGGACCTCATGGTTCCGAGTCCGGAGCACTCTGCCGCTACGCCACACGACCACACATAATCATTACATTTGCCGTGACGCAGGCCTGCCGTAACGCAAAATTGTTCGGAATCAGAATTAAACGTAATTCGTAATCGGTGGTGAAAACTTTGCGTAATTCGCAATCACTACCCCTCTCCTACTTCCCCTCTCCTATATTTGCCGAATTTTACCATCCTAGCACCCTTAATTAAGAATCTGAGAGCCCTGGTGTAGGCAACGAAATGAGCACTTCGGCGTCCATGTCGTAATGAGGTAACCCCTAACTCACCTCAGCGTACATAAATTACCCAATGGCCCGAGGACGATTTAGCTCTTCTTTAGATCGCGCTGATAACCCCTCGCGATAACCTCTTCAAACCCAGAACCCCTTTCAGACCTTGTGGAGCGGAGAAGATTGGGACCACATGGCCCCAGTAATTACCCCTAATCAGGGTGGTCTTCTGGGGACAATGGGGGCAAAATTAGACAGTACAAAGAAGCTGTCAACGATGTTGAGAAGGAGAGACCCATTATGTATAGGTATATAGATATCTATAATGTCATGGCAGAGACTCCGATCTGAGTCGGCGAGTCTACGGGTAGAGATCCCGATCGGAGTTTTTGTCAACATACAAGGACTGGTGTAGGGTCAGGAGACTGTAGATAATAATGGCATCCAATGCAATTTTCATAAAAGTGCTGAATAAGGCAATCTGTATGGTATTGACACATACTGTCCCACGTACGTAATTTAGCACATTTGAATAAGTATTTCATACTTTTGGGTATTTAAAACTGTAGAAACAAGCCCCAAGATTAGCCCTTTAATGTGTTAGAGTTATCTCCCAGTTTACTAACTTCAAGTCAGAATGTCTTTTAAGAAAATATCTTAAGGTTTACACACTGGCAATTGGGATCTCTATAGCTACCTGTAAAATGACCGATTTTTCCGGTAGAAACGAATATTCAAGTCGGAGTCTCTACTCTACCCTATACCCTTCTCTCTCTCTCTCTCTCTCTCTCTCTCTCTCTATATATATATA